AAGGTGAGTTATTCTAAGACAAGTATCATCTCTCTTTCACTGTGGTATCCATAGTAACCTGGACAGTTCCTGCAATATAATAATGCTCAGTAAATGTTGAGTGGCTAGATCAGCCAACGGTAATAAAAAGGATTCATCTTTCTTATCTCATTAACCCTAACCCTAAGCTGTTTCCAAAATGAATAGATATGAACATTTTCATAGAGTTAGTATTAGAAATATGTGATATGTTTATTATTTACTGAAGATGTGTATGCCTGAACATAAAAAATTGTTATGATTATTTTATTTAGTATGAAATTACCTTTTGGTAAAAATCTTGAAAGTATCTAACCATGAATCAAAATAAATATCTAATAATGTAGGATATCTGACATGTGACCCCTGTAAAAGGGTCACATGACTTCTGAAGGGATTGTGACCCACACACTGAGAACAGCTGATCTAGAAAACATATATACAGAACTGTATTTGCACAGTATTCAGGAAAGAAACAGAATATTTAGCATAGTTCTAGAAAATATAGACAGAGAAACAAGACAAGAGAAAGATAAAAGGAGTTACATGTAAACAGAAAAGATAAAAAACAAATTATCTCTAATTGCAGATGGCATGATACTCTACTTGAAAGACCCTAAAGATTCTACCACAAAACTCTTAGGCCCCCTATGCACTTTCGGTACAGTTTTAGGATACAAAATCTATACAAAACATCACTAGCCTTTTAAATATAGCAATAATGAACTTTATTAAAAAAAAGTCAGGAAAATATTCCATTCACAATAGCTTAAAAAATACCTTGGAATAAACTCAAACAAGGAAATGCAAGGCTCCACAGTGAAAACTTTGAGACACTGAAGAAAGATCTCCCCTGCTTGCAGATGACAGAATTAAAGGTGTAAAAATGAACATAATACTAAAAGCAATCTACATATTCAGTGTAATCTCAATCAAATTCCAATGACTCTCTTCACCAAACAATTACAGCAAATCATAAAATACATATGGATGTACAAAGAGCCTAAAATATTAAAATCAGTCCTAAGCAGAAAGAGTGATGCTGGAGGTATTATAGTACTTGATCCTCAAATTATACTAAAGAGCCATAGTGACAAAAATTATACTATACTGGCAGAAAAAAAAGCAAAACAGACATGCAAACCAATGGAATAGAATAGGGGACCCACAAGCAAACCTACACAGCAACAAAACTATCAAAAGTATACCTCAGGGAAAAAGCTGCCTGATACCATCTATTGAATGAAACTATATACATAATTCTCTACTGTGCGCAAAAACATCCTTAAACTGGACCAATGATTTATAAGACCTGGAACTTTCAAACAACTAGAGGAAAGCAGGAAAACACCTTAAGATGTAGGCATGGAAAAGAGATTTCTGAAAAGAACTCTGGTAACACAGGGTATAATCCCAAGGGTTGAAAAATGAGGTTACGTGACATTTAAAAAAGCTTCTCTGCAGCAAAGAAAACAACCACTTGAGTGAAGAAACACCTTGCATATAGGAAAAACAAAACAAAACAAAAAAAAAACCTTTGCTAACTACACATCAAATGGGATCAATATCTAGAACAGTGGTTCTCAACCTCCTTAGTGCTGTGACCCTATTTAATACAGTTCCTCATGTTGTGGTGACCCCTAACCATAAAATTATTTTTTTTTTGCTTCTTCTTAACTGTAAACTTGCTAGTGTTATGAATCATAACGAATATATGCTATGTAGGATATCTGACATGCAGCACCTGTGAAAGGGTTTCATGACTTCCAAAGGGGTTGTGACCCACGGGTTGAGAACAGCTGATGTAGAAAACACAAAGAACTGTATTTGTACAGTATTTGTAGTTGTCTTTGTAAACACCAAAATACAAATCATTAGTAAATGGGCTAAATAGACAGTTCTCAAAATAAAAATATTGGAGTGTGCAAAATCTACAGGGACCAGGGAAATGCAAATTAAAATTGCCCTGAGAGTCTATTTCACCATTCAGAATGGCTGGTATTAAGAAAGCCAGTCACAAGGCTGAAGAAATGACTCAGAGATCAAGGCTGGTCTTCCAAAGGACCTGGGTTCAACTCCCAGCACCCACATCACAGCTCACAACAGCAGGGTGGTGGTGGTGCATGTAATTCCAGCACCCAGAAAGCAGTGAGACACACAGTCTCAATAAACAAACAAACAAGTAGAAAAAGAAAATGCTGGTGAGGATGCAGCCAACAAAGACATTCTTATACATTGTAGGTGTTAATGTAAGCTGGTCCAGCCTCTGTGGAAGCCAGAGAAGTCTCTCAAGAAACTACCATCTGACTTAGCTCTGCCGCGAGGATAGATAGACCTTAAGGACTGTAAGTCATCATACTGCAGAGATACTGGCACATCCATGCTCATTGCTGCACGTTTCCCTACAGCGAAGGAACCAGCTTATATGTCCAGCAACAAAATGAGAAAATGTGGTACATATAATGAATTAAAGAAAAAAAAAAAGCCAGACTAAAAAAGATAAAATACAGTTTCTCTCATTCACAGCATCTAGATTTAAATTGTGTGTAAGTGTTATGAGAGTTCAAAGAGCACCGTAAAAAGGGAGAAAAGGTTTCAAGGGAGGGAAGGGGGGCTGATAATGAAATTCTTAAGACAATAACAGCAGAGGGAGGACTAAGTGTGGAGGGCATGAGCAAGAAACGGAGGAAAGTAGTGTAGAGGACATCAGTGGGGAGGGTGAACAAAAATATAACATTTATACATAATGGAGCCCATCACTCTGTATGCTAACTTAAAAACTAAAGTAGAATATTTGAGTATACATGGTAGAAACTTTCATTCTTTGGCTCTCCGAGTTGAAGTCGAATTCCACACACCGGAGATGTGAACTGTTTCTCACTAGGTGGCTCTCTTTCCCGTGAGTGGGCGGTGCGTTGGCGCTGGCGGAAGATTGAGGCCATTGTACTGCCGCGAGCGCGTCATAGCGCTTCATACCCTGTGCTCGCTTGCAGCATGAGGGGCCATAGTTCACTTTCTATTTCGTTAATGACAAGCTGTCCTTGAGGCTTATTTCCAAGTGGGCTGTACTTTCGTTTCCTGAGAACTCAAACACGTTCCAGCTAAACACTCTTCTAGGTTTTTAATAGGCGTTGGATTCAAAGAAAGATCTGGAAAGCGTTTGTTGAGGCAGCATGGAAAAACAGAAATCAGGTACCCAAATCAAAACCAAGATCCCACTGAAATGCTGATTTTTTTCACTATATAGTGAGGACTGTGTTCTTGGAGTTTATGACCTTACATATTCTAAAACATTTTGGGATAGCTGCTTACATAACTTTTCGATATGAATTGAAAATAAAATCTGTAAAAATGTTAATAACTTCCCTTCCCTCCAGAATGACTTGTTCTGATAGATTCCACATCATTAGGAGACATTTTTCTGTTTTAACTCTAAACCTGACACAAAATACATATACACTAAAATATTTGTTCTCAAAATGGTAAATTTTTTTCGTAGACTCCCTTATGCTGATAAATCTATGTACTTTTATACAAGGTTTTCTTCTCTAAAAACAAAAAAAACAAAACAGCGGCAAGTTCTAAAACACTGCAGAGTTTTTGAGGGGAGGGGGACCTTGGAGATCAGCCTTCGATGACGGAGTGTCATTCCAATGTGGGTACCCCTGGTAAGGATGGCAGTCGTCAGCCTTTCGGATCGCTCTCAATTCTAAATGCCTAAGAACTGCGTGCTAGCCTAGGCTGGATTCCAGCTCTCATCTTCCTCCCGGAGGGCTTGCAGGTGATACGAAGTAGGAATTAGGGGAAGGGTCGACCCAACAGGACAAGTCGAACGTTCTCGATTGCCAGTAGCCGCATCGCATCTCCTCCTTGAGGGACCCCGTCCTGGCGGGATCCCGCCTCCCAGACTCAAGCAGTTGTGGGGAAACCCCTTCCTCGCAGCCTGGCGGTGCAGTACCGCCCTCGCTTTTTCGCTCCAACCCACCACCCGGCAGCCTTCATAGCCTGCGTTTTCTTCTGGGGCCCAGCCCTTTCCCCAACCGCCTCTGAGATGAAACCGTAGAGGTGGTTTCCACCTTCAGAAGGGTGGAAATGCCCACGGTGAATGCGTTGGGCTCTCCCCGCAATTTTTGCTGGAAGAGGAAATGGACTTCACTGCCGGGATCACAATCTGCAAGCCCAGAGTTTACAAGGCAGGGAATCCAAGCGGGGAATCCTAGGCGGTTTCCCGGGAACCCGTTTCTCTAGGGGAGGGTCACCCTGTCTACATACACCAGTTACTATGACAATACAACCACAGCCTCCAGTTTCCATGGCAGCGGCCTGCCCAATCTGATTGGTTTTCTTTCTATTTCTCCCCGGGCTCCGCCTTATGTCACCGTCCTCCCACTCCCCCCCCCCCCCAACACGCTTCAGGAGTTCTTGGGGATGGGCAACTGAGAGGAAGGCCTTTGCATCACTCTCCGGCGCGCGAGGAAAGACAAGAGTAGAGGAATTGGCGGGCGGAACTGTAGGAGGAAGAGGTGGCGTTTCCGGTGGGGAAAAGTGGAGGAGTGGAAAAAGGAAGCGAGAAGTGGGAGGGTGGAAGGGCGGAAGTCTTTGAGTGTAACCCCCCCCCCCCCCCCCCGGCTGATTTGGGCCCGATGCTCGCGGTGAAACTTGGGGTTGCCCCCTCGCACGGGAGAGGAGCGGATCATTAGGGAGCCGCCAAGCGCTACCACCGACTCTCTCGTCCGGTGCGCAGGCGCCACACAACTTGATGTCCCCAAAAGGGAGCAGTATAGAGAAGCGGAAATCACCCGGAGGAACCGGCACTGCTAAAGTCTCGCGAGAGCAACCCGACTTCCTTCCTCTGGTTTTCCCTCCTCTTCCCCCGCCCCCTTCCCTTCTCCCCCCCTTCTTCCCTCCTCCCGAGCCGGAGCGTCCCTGTGTCCCACAGGCCAGAGCCGCAGCTAGAGCAGCTTTCCCCACGCCCTCCCCCTCGCCTCACTCACTCTCCCCCCGCCCACCCCGCGCCGAGCGAGGAGGAGTCGGAGAGGAAGATGGCGGCGGCCGCCAGCACCCGCGGGGTCGCGGGGCCGCTCCGAGGAGCCTGAGAGACCCACGGAGGCTTCGCGGGGAGACGCGGCGGCGGAGGATGAGCGTGCAGAGCGCGCAGTATCTCCGGTGAGCGTCGAAGCCCGGCCGAGGCGCTGTGGGGAGCGAGGAGGTTTGGGGGGCCGGGAACAGCGGACTCCGAGGTGGTGGGGGAGTTGCAGCGTCCTCCTGCCCCCGGGCCGGGGGACGCGGGCTCCGCGGGCAGCTGCGGGAGGGGGCGGGCACACACATGGCTGCCTGGCCCCCGCCGGCGGAGCTCGGCTCCCGTGGAGCCCGCGGTGAGCGGAGGGAGGTTGGAGAAGCGTGAGAGCGAACGTGTGTGCGCGCGCGCCTGTGCTCTCAGCCTACGGGCTGGGGTAGGGAGAGGCAGCCCAGGAGCAGGTAGAGACCTGGAATGAAGATGGGTGTGAAGGGGTCTGGTCCCCACAGCTGGGGAAACGTGGAGCGCCCTGACTGGAGCGATGCTTGCTGAGAGTAGAGGATGGAAGTCAGCACACCTGGGGGGTTGGGAGGGCGCAGACTGGAGGGCAAATTGGAAGAAGGGGAGACTGCAGGAAACGAGAGCTTGTTTCTTTTATCGCGGCTTGAGAGTACGAGAAATAATGCCTTCTGTGGTTAGTTGAGGTGGATAGGGGAGCCCGAAAAGGGAGGAATGGATGGGGAAATGAGGGAGAAGGGAGGTGCTATGACCAAGGTTATGTTCTCACAAGAAACTATAGTTGGAAGATACCATTCTCTGAGTCGTGTGCATTCATTAGGTGCGATGTGAGGAACTTGTAGGATGGAGATGGAGTGACGCATGGGTACTGGTGCTTGTGTGTCTGTCGGGGGTATGGGAAGGAAGCAGGAATTGATGCAAATTTAAAGAAGACACATGCCTTGACTCTGATGTCGAGAACATTTTGAATGGAAAGGCAGCAGCTGTTGTGCAGTCAGAATGGCTTCATGGATTCCGAGTAAGGGGTTGGAGGAAGCTAGAGGGTAAAATAAAACCTTGATGACAAAGGAAAATAAGATTGTTAGAGCCTGGGATTAATCGGGGAATTGCAAAGACTTTAGAAACTTAAAAACTGGGCTTTTTTTCTTTCTTTCTTTCTTTTTTTTTTTTTTTTTTTTGTCTTTCAGGAACAACTAAAAAAAAGGACAGGTCTTATGGGAAGATGCTTTTAAATAAAGTGACTTCATACGTTGTGGAAAGGGGAATTGAATAGATAGATTACTGAAGAGCTATAAATGAGTTACTATAGAGCCAGGCTTTAATCCCAGCGCTTGTGAGGCCGAGGCAGGTGGATCTCTGAGTTCAGGCCAGCCTCGTCTTACAAATCAAGTTCCAAGGGCTACTACAGAGAAACCCTTTCTCGAAAAAAATAAAATAAGGGAGAATTAGTGAAGTGAAAGAGTCAGTGTGTGAGAGCAGACCCACATATACTTACATTGCAAGAGAAGGTATGTCGTTCTGTGGTGCACGAGGTGGCTGTTCTGTCTTTCAGTAGTTATTCATTATACTGTAGAGAAGATAGTGGAATCTCTGAACCTTTGATGCATGAATTCCAGAGTTTAGCACAGCGTATATGCCTGATGTTTTAAGGTAACATCTTCTTTTCTCTGTTGCCCTTATGATTTACTATATTAAGTAAACTTTACAACAGATGAATGTAGGCACTGTACACAGAAATAGAAACTACCAGGCAGTTCTTAATCTTAAGGAATTTGCAGCTTAATAGCCAGTAGGTGAGTAAATTAACAGCGCAGACTAATATAATTATCACCACAAAAGGTACCATGTTGATGAGTCCAGTTGCAGGAGATGACCTGAGCAACTGAAGGAAGTCAGGAAAGGCTTTCTTTGTTCATTTATACACGTGTGATTCATCAGTTGTTTGGTTGATCACCTGTATGGAAGGCATTGTACTAACTGCTAAGAACAGAAAGTAAGAACTCCACCCTCTTACAGAACTTACTAGTTTGTTAGGCTTTAAAAGAAAAGAGCACTTAAACTCTAAGGCCAGACAATATTCTGACAGCTGAGGATTAGGAAAAAGATACTAAATGGTAGGATGTAGATAATAAGGAAATGGAGGAGAGAGAGTGGTGTTCAGATAGACAAGAATGTGGGGTGATACAGTTGGAAAGCATAGATAGAGTTTACCTTCTTCCTTTTTACAGCTTAGGAAAAGAAGTCCAAAAAAGTTAAGGATCATATGGTTGGTGTGTAAAAAGAAATTCAAATGCTTGTCTTTTGGCTTCAGGTCAGCTTTCTGATGTGCATTTTTTTTTGGCCCAACTGTGAATTGGGGCCTTTCTATATTCTAGGACCTGAGGCTCCACTGGTGAACAGAAGGGAGAACATAGGCGAGTCTATTTTCATAGAAAGTCAGTAAATGTGAACAGATAAGTACATGATGAGTTACTTTGAAGTGCTAGGAGGGAAAATAAAACAAGACTGTATTTTATATAAACACAGTAGTTACAGAAAACCTATTCTGTAACCTGATGCTCAAAGGGTCTTAAATTTTATGATCTTTATAGATAGACTGTGTAGACATTAAAAAGTTTGTGGTGAAGGTTTTTGGGATGTAGCTTCATTTGAAGAATGCTCACCTAACCTGCATTACATAAAATTGGGTGTAATATGGCCAGCCATTCTGGAAGTGAAAACATGAAGATCAAAAGTTCAAGGTCATCCACTATTTAGCAAGGTCAAGGCCACCCTGGGCTTCATAAGCCCATGTCAAAGACAGAAATCTGAGATGACTTGTTAAGAGGCATATGTTCATAGCTATGCTTTGAGAAGATAACTGTCATAAAATAGTAGACCGTTAGGGTTTGAAATAAGGTCTTGGCAGTAGGAAGAAGGTGTGATGCAAACGTTAGGAAAGTGTTGATACTTTTCAGTGCAAAGATAGCTTCTTTGAGAAGCTTTTGTGCTAATGTATCTTCAGCTTGGAGGGAAGAATTATCAGTGACAGGTTGATATGAATTTAGCTCTGAAGAGAAAAATGGAATGAGCAGAGTTTAAATGACCACTACATCTCCAGCTCAATTGAAAAGGCAAAAAAGTTTGTGTTAACTTCAGTTTTCCTTTCAATTTCATTTAAAGACTGCTGAGGGGAGACTGGAGGGTATCTTCAAGGAAACATGTTGAGTTTCTTTGAAAATAGAAGTTTGTTTTCAATTTAGTAGACTTATTTTATATGTATGGGTATTTTTGCCTACATTAAAATATGTCTGCATTGATGTGCAGTGACCATGGGGGCCAGAAGAGGGTGTCAGGTTCTTTGTAACTGGAGTTGTGATGGTTGTGAATGACCATGTGTGTGCTGGGAATCTAATCTGGGATCTCTGGTCCTAACTCCTAAGCCATTTCTCCAGCCCCCAGAATGTCTGTTTTTGTAGAGGTTAGAGGAGGCAGTTTGTCCTTGACTTTAGGACAAGTTTTGTTACTTACCTTTGTCAGTGGGAGAAGACCATGACTGGACAGTTTTTAGGCTGTGTGGCTGCTGCAGCTTTTCTCTTATCTGAATTTTAATTGTTTTAGTGAGTAGGGTATCTAGTATTGAAATGCTGGGGAAGTGGAAATGTAGGGAACAAGGTGGCAGCTTCAAAGAGTGAGAAATAGTACTATGAAGTAAGAAGTCTTAGTAAGAACAAGAAAGAGGGAACTAGGTAAAGGGAACTGAATTCATCTCAAGTTAAAGAAACACCACAGATGAAAAGAAAACCTGTGGAGGGATGAGATGATACTGTGAACAAGACTGCAGGTTTCCTTTGCTAGAAGAAAAAAACCCCTTTTCTCTCCTAGTACTAGGCTGGCACAACTCCTGTCCAAATAGATGTTTCAAAGACTTAATTTATATAAATTAAGAAATTTCCTTGAATATGTATGTTCTAGGCAAGAAATATTGGTAATATATTACCCAAATCTAAGTAGAAGTCAGGTGTTTTCTCTTGACTTGACAAAATGAAAGCTCTTTTAAAAAGACTTTGACACTTACATTGAGTAAAAAAGTGGACAGAATGTAGTTTTTCTATGGTGCGGAAAGGTGAGGATAGGTCATAGATAAGATTATAAGTATGGCATAATACTATACTTTAAAAGAATGAATTCTTAAGAGCTGGAAATTAACATACCAAAGGCACTGTTTTGAGTTTCTGTTGCTGTGATAAAGACCAGGACCAAAAAGCAGCTTGGAGAGAAAGGGCGTTATTTCATCTTACACTTTGTAGTCCACCATCATTCAGGAAAGTCAAGGCAATAACTGGTTCAGAAATGATAGGGGGCTACTGTTTCCTGTCTTGTTCCTTCATAGCTTACTCAGTCTGTTTTCTTTTACCATGGGGATCACCTGTTCAAGAGTGGCACCAACCCTCAAATTCTGGCTTCTCTGACAACGGTTGATCACGGAAATGCCCTACTGACTTGCCTGTAGACAATTTGATGGAGACACTTTCCAATTTGAGGGTTCTCTTCCCAGGTGACTCCAGTGTGTGTCAAGTTGACAAAAAAGTAACCAGGTCACAGAAGAATGTGGGTGAAGGAAGAACACGTTAAAGTATGAGACACAGAAAACATCAGAGTTACTTTTTCTGCAATATGAGAAAGTGGAGTAATCTTAGCCATAACATTACCAGTCAAACAGGCCAAATCCTGTTATAAAAGGTGTAAGAGATGTTACCAAATCACATCTGTTGCCGTTGTGAGAGGTACTGTTTTGTATACCTTCCAACTTTGCTTTCTTCGTTATTCTTTTTTCTGTCTTAAATTTTCTTCTATGCTTTGAGTGTTTTCAGTGAAATCAGCTTGACATTGATTTCCTGGTGTTAGACTCCTTTACAAAAAATGTTCTATAAATGTCCGCTTTGTTAAGACTTTCCCTTTGATACCTCTGTTGAAAGGACATTCTAGTGTCATATTCCATGTTAGAAACTTTAGAGCCAGAAATGAAACAGCAGCCGCAGACTTATCTTTGAGGCAACAGAAAAAATGGTTGTTATTTGAATTGGAAGGAAAATAGTTCCATATTACTGTAAGGTAAAACGCTTGATGGTAAATCTTGGCTGGGGCTGGG